AATCAGAGAGTCCGGTCCACGATGAAAGCTTGTTTTCTGACAGATGTATCCATCGCCTTCATGCACACTGCATACTGAATTGGCATCTCCTCCCTATGAAGTAGTATGTGCCTCCATAGTAGCCATTTGTGTATTCTTGGATAGCCATTTTTAGAGAGACAACAGAGGACGGGACGGTTAAAAGAGCATTGGGTGTTCCAAGTTGTAATTATTTTGCACTGTAATTTCAGGGAGTAATTTGAGTGACTTCTAATGACACTTGGTTTTATCACTTGATTACTTTTAGTAGACATGGACAGACAGACAGCACAGATTGCTTATTAGTGTCCAACATTTTTAAAACCCCCCTGAAAACAGTAATTAGGTCATTTTAGACAACCTGCTAATTTTCTCTTCGGTCACATTTTCCACCAAAGTTGGCAAACTGTGGAACAAATATGTCTGTGGCTTTGCAAGTAGTCCGTGTGCTAAAGCATGTAATTTCAACTTGGTTTACACGGCGAAATTAAGTCCAAGTCTGGAGTGAAAACATCGTCTTAAATGAGGGGAAGATTGTGGGTGCAGAGACGGGTTTTAAAAAATCATTTGGATTGTAATGGCGTAAGGTGTTGACATTGAGCTAAGGCTGATTTCAAGTAATAGCCACCTTTCATAGCCAGATCCTTTAATACACGTTGAATGATGGAGTACCCCAAGGCAATAACACGTGTTCTCTGCTAGATCCATGATGTATAATGAATGTCTGCTTTTCAATTTAGCATTCAGTGATTTCCATTTGTGGCAGTACGATGTGGCTCTTCTAATGCCTGTTTACAATACTGTGTTTTTTTTAAAAGCAGGAACATTTGATTTGCTCAGTACGCGGTGTGTCTTCTGAAGGGATCAGAGTTAAATTGGAATTTAAGGGAGAAAACAAAAAGTTACGAGTGCAAGGAAATAAAACTTTCACTCCAACCACACTCTGGCAAGCCAGACCAAGCCCACATACAAACAAACTCCAGTAGATGTGATATAAAACAATACAAGACTCAATGGCATACGTACATAAAACATGTACAGAGGTTGGATGTAAGAACGGAGCTTTACTGTAGAACCAGTCCCCAAAAATACACTTGCGTACAGCATTTACATTAAGACATTTTGGTTTAAGGAGGTAGGGTAACGTTAAACTCAGGATTCCGTTCCTGTTTTGTATGTAAACAAAGCTCCATATGTTGGCATACCGAGTGTAAGATATCTGATATTAATCAGTATATGGATATATTGGAAAATGGCTTTGTATTTATTGTATTGGGAGACAGCAAATGACAAAAGATAGAAAAATGGGCCAAACTATCCTGACTTAAGTGATGGCCCAGTCAAAACCAGCATTTAAAATGTCAAGTTCTTTATTGTTTTCATGTGTTTAACAATAACAGAGAAAGAGAAGCAGTTGTTGGCAATGCAATTTTAGACTTTAGGTACTGCCAACAATGCTTAATAAACAAGGAACAAACAAAGTAAATGTTAACGTCAATAGATATTAATAAAAGTTATACAAAGTGTGGAACGTTTCAGGCATACATCAAATTAGAGCAAACATAGTGTATGTATTTGCATAATGAGAAGTTATTAAATAAATATATATAGAGGTGTAAAGTATACAAGGGCAATGTGAAGGTTTATAGGCACAGTAACAACAGTGGTGAGCTCAGAGTTCAGAAGTCCTATGGCATGTGGGTCAAAGCTATCCCTGAATTTGGTTGTGAAGGACCGGTTGCTGCAGTAACATCTGCCAGACGGCAGCAGGCAGACTAGTTTGTGGCCGGGGTAATTGGGGTCTTTGATAATCCCTTTGGCTTTCTTCCAACATTGCTGCATGTAATGGTCCTCCATTGATGGTAGGTCCATCCTGGTGATGTGCTGGGATGTTTTCACCCCCCCCTGTACAGCCTTATGGCACAAACCAGACCTTGATGCAGCCAGTCACTCTGAGTGGTACACCTGCAGAAGTTATCCCGGAGTCCATGTTGTAACGGGTTGTAACCATAGAGTTGTAACCTACTTACCCTGCTGGTGATAAAGAAGATCTGCAGTCTTGCATTCTTCATGATGCAGTTGGTGGGCGATTTCAGGTCAGAACCTCACTGATGTAGACCTTGGGGATCCTCCAGAGTGCATACCTGGATTTTCCTGTACACATCCAAAACACCTGCGTTGTAAGCATTGGATTGGCCATGCTTCAAGCTTGCCACCGACTGTCCTGTACACCCATTGTTTCTACCTCCGCATAGTTATCCCCAGTACAACATAAATTGGCAATGTTGACCAATAGCAACCGGCGTTGACAGTCCTGACCTTTGAGGGAAAAGAGAGCCAGAGAGACCGCAAAAAGTTATGGTTTTAATGCAATGAGATAGGAATCGATAGGACAACTGTGTCCCTTGAATAGACTTTTCCCTGTTTGCAACCAAGCTTTCAAACTTGCTGACTGACTGGCTTTCTGTTATAAATTCAATTCCAAGACAGGACAAACCCAATGACATCAATATGACATCATCACGATTGACTTGACAAAGCTCCTTCAGGGCCACGAACAACATTTTGTAACTGTTTTCACAGGCTGAATTGTAGCTACTCCTTACGATAAATGTTAAAAACATTGTGCAACATAACATGGAATATTTATGGATTTAACTTTAGAGGGGTGACGTGTTCCATGCACCATGTAACAGGTAATAGAAACAGTCAGGTTTCACATGAAAGTCTATTTTTAACCATTACAGGAATGCTTTTCTGAGCTCCTGTATCATATGAGCACAAATAGCCAATATCTGCACAATGTTTCAGCTGTCTGAAACTTCAGACTACAAATATTGGTCTATTGGATTTGGTGCCAGTCTTTCAAAAACATTATTGGTCAAATCCAAGTGGCTAGTAAAGTGACAAAGATTAGATGACAAAGAAAGCAGATGCCAGTGTAATTCAGGAACTCTAGCTTGAGATGAAACAGAGCTGTGTACAAGAGACGCCTGCAGAGTTCCTGCCACCAACCCCTCCCAAGCAGGACATCATGATTAATGTCGTGCTCCTACCTGTTGAATCGTTTTGTACGCCCACACTGGACAAAAGACAGGAGTCTGAAACAGAGATATAGTGAGCCAAAGCAGAGGCTACATAGATGGTGAATTAAGATAAAAGAGATGCTTGTGACAAGTCCATATTTCCCCATCCCAAGAGACGGTCATTCTTATCAACAGGTTTAGAAAACAGCGACAGGGTCACAGGAGGTAACAGAAGGTCCCTTCTGGCGACAAGAAAAACATACATATGGTGTCGAACCTGAGAAAATAAACTTTCCCCAGACTTAATTAAAGTGATTACATGACTGGGTCATTCATTTCATGTTTGCACAAGCTGTTAGTAAAAGTAAACTTTCCCCATTAAATGAAAATAAGCACAAATAAACAATAATTACATGGATCCCTAACCCTTCATATGGCTCTTGCTGCTTAGTCACGTCCTTCGAATCACTACTTTGGATAAACCCCAAGGGAACACACAGCTGAGGGCCTCAGAAGCCATGAGTCATGGGCCCATAATGTGACAGCTTTTATAATGGAAGTCAATGAGAGGGTGCATCAGGAGTAATCGGCAGTGGCATGGCTATATACAGTAAGAATCTCTCTTTTTTGCCAAAAGTTACTAAAAGCAGCTGGGATTGGTTTTTGTTGGAATCTGGTGGAATAATTATCGTTGCAGCAAAAGCACTGATATTGCCTAAGGAAGCTTTGAGAAATTCTTCTAAAAAAAGGTTACTCATAAGGTCTTCTAAAAACTAATGGGAGAACTCAACTATTTAAATCCTTCCAATTGGAGCTATTTGTGTGCCAAATGTATCTTTTTTAACTGCTGGATATTTCTTTGATCCTGCACCCATCGTTTTGGGCACTGGGATCATTTAGGACCAAGGTGTGATCTTCAGTAGAGAAATGTTATACAGTCTTTACAAGCATCCAAAACAGGTTTACTGCACTGTAAAGTATGCCTGCAGCAGACAGTTGGTAATAGGTTTAACTCCATGCACAGTGTAGGGGCTGTAAAAAATGTCGCTTTTACCAAGTGGCTCGGTTACAAAATCTGAAGACTTTCCTCTGTATGCAGAGTCCCAAATTCCATAGTAATTTGTTCCAATGATGTTTAACTTTATGGCATTTTTTGGCAATTCAGCCCCAAGGCTCAATAAGAAAGTTGGGAAAGCAATCAAATCAAAGACACAAAGTGGCTCCAAAAGTTAATTTACTGCATGTCAATAGGTTTCTTGACATTTGATAAATTGCACATTTACTTATTTGGATATTTGCCTTTTTATGGTAAATTATCCAGGTGTCTACTGGTTGCTTGGTAACACAACTTTTAAATTGTCATTTTTACACAAATGGAAGTTTTGTTTTTTGACTATTTGTATACAGACTCCCAATAAAAATATAACGTGTTAATAAGTAAGCTGCAGAAGTGCTGGTTGGTGGATTTTGTTATGCTAAACTAAGCTAGCTCGATGCTAGCATTTCTTACATTCATATAATTCTGAGGTTAATTGTTATATTAACCATTGATAAAGCAATTAGTTATTAAGTGTTTCCAAAACAGGAGACAAAATATATGATGATGGAAATGTACTTATTTTTCCCGAAGACTGCATTAGCATTGGGAGAAGAAGATGTTTTCCCATGTCAGTTGGATACATTTGCTTCAAGAAAAGTGACACTTTCAGACTCCACCAGGGATGCAGTGATTTTAGACAGCTACTTTTTGCAGCGTGATGCCTCCCTCTCTCTCCCTCCCTCTCTCTCCCTGCGCTGGCCCCGGCCCCAGAATCGGCGTAAAGCATCCACAGTATGTTCGCAGGCTCGGGCTGTGTACTAGGAAACATGAGCAGGGTGAGATATTCAGAGTCCGGGGTGGTATGGAGCAGGTCGCTGGATAAAGCAGAGCAGGAGACGGCGGTCCGTGTGGTTTGAGCTCAGGATCTCAGGACGGGAACATGTGAGCAGGGAATGGGCGACTGGAAACAGGATTATTGTTCTACACAGCAGAGAGACGCAGGAGGGCCCGGGACAGGTAACTCACACAGATACACGTACACACACTGTTTTAGGAATATATATCAAGATTTGGAACCATGATGGAGGGATAAGCGCACCTAAACTTGACCAACTTTGAATGGAATTGCTGTTTTATTATGACATATAGTTTGAAATAAAGCCTATTTAAAACATAATTTAAACATTTATTAAAATGTCACTGCCAGTGTTATGTTTTTGTATCACTCTATATTGGCTGCTATTGATGGCACCGCATCTATCCCGGTGACACATTCAATATTCAACTTGCACAGAGGAATTCCAAATTGAAAGTGAAGAGGAAAACACAATTTCACATTTCTGCAGACTTGTTTGTTTTGCATTTAAAAGTGAGAGCACCGACCACAAATAAATCATGCAGGATTTGTAGTGACATGCGACCGCAGAGCAGAGGAGACATGGCAGCAATATTCAACATGCTTGGAGTTCAAAAACACATTTTTTAAAAACCCAAATCAAGATTTGACAAGCCTAACCACCCAGTCTGAAGGCTACTGTAGTTTCACTGAAGTAAATTATATGTTCTCACAAGATGTTTGTTGAAAATATGCAAAATAGAATTGTGTTACTTCAGGTTTCAATCTGAGTTGAAGATTGAAAAGGCGTTTTAATAGGCATTTTTCGCACTCATTAGCCAAATGTATGGAGCAGCTGTCTGCACTGATAACACTTATATTCCCTTTTTGAATTGCTCTTTTTCAAATCTATTTGTAACATTTAGTGCACACCCAACTACGTGCAATTATTTCGATTGTGTATGCGTTACAAGAAGCTTTTTATGCATGGCACTTGCAGTCGCAAATGTTTACAAAGAGCGACCTTATAATGACGCATCACAACAGCGCCGTTACGCACGGCCCGCCTCAGTTTAAGACGGTCTGCAGGCTGCTTCATTCAGTGTGTTTGTATTAGCAGACGCATAGTGGAGGTCAACTTTACCACACACCAGAGAAGGCTCAGAATGTATCAGAGAAATGTGTGTTTTCCAGGAGAAATATACTTCTTTTTTGTTTTTCAGCGAGCAAAAGTTCTATTTTAGTTTACGATTGCATCACGGCTGTTAGGTTTACACTTCATTTGTAAAATATCCACTCTTGTTCCACAGGAGAGACACGGGGACACTGTGACAAACCAGGGGAGATTTTTGTTTTCCTTTTTTAATTTTTGAAGAAATCGTGGACATATCTGGCCAAAGATGAACACCATTGTGTTTAACAAGCTGAGCAGCCAGGTCCTGTTTGAGGAGAAGGCGAAAGAGGTGGAAATGAGCAGCAGAAATTATCTAGAAGTGATCGAGGGGCAACATCCGGACCTCCTCTCCAGCAACCACGGCATCAGAGACAACCAGGCCATCAGACACAGGCGGAACGGGTATGTGGAGCATTCTGCTGCGTTTAATGTGAGACTTTGTTGACATGTCCGGGCTTACTGATGAAGAATACCTCGGGTATTCCACTCAGCATAGCAGTATCAGTTACAGCACATAAGTGGCGTACACATATGATTTTCGTTATAAAAGTTCTGTGAGGTTCTAACGTTATGCATAATTAAGACGGGTAAAAAAGATCAAGCTCAAAAACGTGTTTGGTAAAAAGTCTTAAGAATTACATTGGTGCTCTGTGGATAATACTCCTTCAGTTTCTATTTATTCAATGTCGGATTAATAAAATAACTCTAAATTGCGCATTTACGCATACAAATTAGCGCCTATAAAATACCACGTTCTTTTTTATGATCTACAACTGCAACCACTAATTTATCTGCATCTCAAATTTGAAACTCCAATTTAATTATAGAGTCCGGATGTTTTTTATTTGTGGTTTAGTGCAACAGGATCTGATGGCTCAGGGAATTCATATTTACCGTTTTTCCAATCTGGTCCTCATTTAGGTGTTGATGTTCACAGCTAATCTGGAAATGAATAAATAGGTCAGCCGTGTTCAGTAGTGGGTCTCATAGTATACATCTGTTTCCAATAAATAAATGTGCCCTTTAACTCTCTGTGTGGTCTAGTCAATCACACATGAGTCAAGTGTTTTTTCTTTAAATCATATATTTTATTTTCCCTCTATAGTGACTGGGAGCAGGTGTAAGAAAATATCACGTCACTCTGTTATTAGTTGCCTATTATATGCATGTGTATTGGGTCAATGTGTCATAGAGAGAAGGACAGCTTCATAATCCTCCTCAAGGACTAACCTTCAATAATAAGAAAGAATGTTATGAGCTGATGTGATTGTGAGACGTCACCTCTAGGGAAGCATCAGTGTTAACGAAGAACATTAAATTATTAAACAGAGGTGTGTGTGTGTGTGTGTGTGTGTGTGTGTGTGTGTGTGTGTGTGTGTGTGTGTGTGTGTGTGTGTGTGTGTGTGTGTGTGTGTGTGTGTGTGTGTGTGTGTGTGTGTGTGTGTGTGTGTGTGTGTGTGTGTGTGTGTGTGTGTGTGTGTGTGTGTGTGTGTGTGTGTTTTACTGTTTAGTTCAGAACACGGAGCGAAATGTCCTTACGGATGTTCTTACTGATCTAGATTACAAGGAAAATATTTGTAGAACATGAGGCAGACTTGAGGTTGGACTAAAATATGTTACATCTGCAGTCAGTGGAGCTTTTTGGTGAGATAAAGGGAGAAGCGGAGCACAGCACCATACTGACATCTACAGGTTCATAAAACCTGGGAGAAGGTGAGCCTTCACACACCAGGACCATCAGGCTGCTTAAGACGAAAACAATGTTAATATCCTTTAAGAAATTATCCAATCAGTGTTGCTAAATAAGACATTCACACTGATCTTTTTTTAAAAATCTTGTATACTATCACTACAATATTCTTTAAAGTGCATTTTATTGGCTTTACTCAGAGTGACTGATTTTGAACTTATATATTTCTAAAAGTAAAAAAAAGGTTTGGATAGGAGAACTGTTTGCACTGAAAATGAGTTATTTTTCCAACATATATATTCCTGCTGTGATGTTTTTATAGCATCCTCAGGACATGTGTCATAGCCCTTTTTTCGTAAAAGAAAACCAGAAGTATAATTTCAATTTCTTGGTGGCTTGGCTGTGAATGTGACCCGGCTGTGAATGTGACCCGGCTACATTGTTCTTGGTCTCCTTGGGTGTGAAATGTTAATCTGGCAAAAAAACGTATGCGTCGGAGCAAAACGTTTTTGTTTGTTTTATAGCAATGTGCTGGTGGTTTGTGGGACACGCAAAGAAAAATAAACTGTGATTGTCTGTGTGTACCTCTCTCTTTCTGCTTCTGCCTCCTTCTGTCTTTTGCTATGTCTTTCTTACTTGTAATCCAACCTTTCTTACTTTAATTGCAGTGCTTTGGGTGAGAGAATTGCATACTTTATAGAGTGTTGTTCGCATATGTGTCATGACTAACATGCAGGACTCCACTTTAAGCTTCACAACATAGTAAAAAAAACATAATCCTGTTTGTTTATATTACTTAAAACCAGATACAACTCACATTTTTGAATTGATAAATACAAATCTAGGCTTTTCTCCAACATTGTATCTGATATAATGAACACATGATGTTTCTAATAAATGCAGAATGTCAAGTCCTCCATCTTGAAGCAAGACAAAATCCAGCATTATTTGTTGGCAGATTCTAAATTAAATTAAAGTAACATTATACAAAAATTATAATAATTGTGCATGGACAAAAAAAGAAGTGTCCAGATTTAGATTTCAAACCCAAAATGCTTTCCAAAATTCAGATATGCACGGCTTATAGGTTATATTTCTAGATGTACATATACCTCATTATTAAGTGTGGTATTTGGTTGACCTTTTTTTTCTACCTGCTCCTCCAAAGGGGTCGTCCCGGCGGCGGGAAAGTGCGACACAAGCGTCAGGCCCTGCAGGATATGGCGCGGCCGCTCAAGCAGTGGCTCTACAAGCACCGAGACAACCCCTACCCCACCAAGACGGAGAAAATCCTGCTGGCCCTCGGCTCGCAAATGACCCTGGTTCAGGTGAGTCTCCTTTCTGCTTCTTATCATACTAGTCATGTAGCAAATAAAGACAAAATAGAATGCAGCCAGGCGTGTGATCAGTGAGGGGGAAAAAGTGAACTTTGATTTATGTGGTGGAGTTTGGGTCTAATTGGGTCTGAAATTTGGATTTTGACTTGCATTTGTAATAAGGAGGCGTGAGTAGTGGGCTGTTTATTTTACAGTATGCAATGACCTTATTTCTACTTTCTTCCAAGAGCTACATTTGGAAAATTCTTTTTAATTTCACTCAAATGTGACAAAGTGTCTAATGTTTGAAGTTATATAAGTCGGAGGTGTCCAATCTTTTCGATTTATGAGACCTCCTTTTTATTAGTCTTGTCAATCATCCAAAAAAAGTGGTTTTATTTATTGCATCGTACATTTTATTGGCATGAACAGGTGAGGAATGTATAATATAAACATAGTAGGAAAAAATACAGAATATTTGTATCTTCAGTCCTCTTTGGGTTATCTCCTATTTATCCTTGAGCCCATTGATAGCCCCAACCTGCTGCTTAGGATCCCCAGGTCTCGATGTAGTAATACTGTTGTATTATTACTGTATGTTTCTCATATGCTATTGCACCCTCTACTGATAATACAAGAGTACAGTGGACTACCAGACTTTAGCAACTGACCACTGAGAGGAAAAGCCGGTGTGTATGAGTGTGTTTGGTGTCTGGCGCTTGCAGCTGTGTGTGTACAGTATCATCTGGCTGACAAGGTCACTGATACGGCCTCACAAAGTCTGCGGCGGCTTTTCGGGCCGCCGGCCACAATGCTTAATCTGGTTCTCATTTTGGGGGAGCCTGATGGAGCTGTTTGTTTTGGTGAGGGCGAGCAGAGTGCAGAGGAATGCTTTGTATTGGACACCGGGATGCTGTGCAGCGAACACACGCACACGTTTAAAGCTGACACCCAAATACCAGCAGCCGTGTCAAAGGTCGGGGGATGAGCCCGATGACAGGCAGGTGAATGATTTTCAACGCATTTTCCAACGTGGGGGTTCTTCTTTTTCTGTGCGTATGTTTGTTTGGAATTTCTTACATTTGACATTATTTGACACTTCGATTTTTTACTGATGTGGTTACAGTAGTTTGCTGAGATTATTTGGTCAATTTATTGAATAGTTGATCGACAGAAAAGTGATATCTAAAATGTTATTCATCACATACTGTAAGTTATTAAACAAAATGCTTTTAATCCTGTTTCTCCAACATGAGAATGGTAAGAATATTGAATATGCAATCATAAATGACATATAAATGGAATATAGGTTATAGACTTATGGTGACAAAAAAAACTATGAATATAAAGACATGATCTTAATGTACTGGGTGTTTTCATTTTTTTTCAATATTTTTTTAAGTAAACAATTGATTTGATTCAACAAATCTTTCCATTTTTTTTTGTATTATTAGCTGCAGCCCCCAGAGGCCTCTTCTCCCTGCCTATGTGTTCATGGAACCTAAAAACTGCCCATTTCTTCCACTGTTTGGTCCAATCAATCCACCGCTGCCAGCAATGGAGAACGCATCACTTCCTGTGCATTTTCCCCTGGAAACACCAACCTGGCACCAGGTGTTGCAACTAAATCTGTCATGTTTTAGCAAAACAGCCCCTTTTTTCCATGTAAACATTGTAAATTATTTCTTTAAAGTTTGTATTAATATGACAGTGCCATCTCTCCATCATTGTTCAAATCCCTCGCCGTGCCTGCATGCTGTCTGATCGACGGTGCGTACAGTTCAGACAGGCCACGGGTGAGAGAGCTGGTTTGGCTCCCCCTTTTTTTAATCTATTTGGGTGTCATCTGAGCAGGCGTGCCATCCCATCCCATGTCTTTTCTCCCACCCCATTGACAGCCATCTTTCCTCCAGTCCTCATTAGCGAGCCGTCCCACGCCTCGCCTCGTCTCACCTCGCCTCCCCTCCGGCGGAGCCACATGTACTAGATGCCGCCTTCCCCCTGGAGTGCCACAGCGCTGGGCTCGAGACAAAAGGATGTGGGATGGTCTTAGTTAACGAGAAACACGATACTGGAAGAGGGGATCAGAAAAATAAGTACTCTAGCATAAGGCCCCTGTCCCAGCCCCTTCATAAGCCGCTTGAAGTCTATTGAGCATGAAAAGTTATTCTAGTATAACATCTAATGGTCTCCCTTCCCAGTGCAAGGAAGAGCGCCGGCTCGAGTGTCTTTTTTATTGCATCTTGAAGACAGTGTTGGAAACATTTTTATTATTGGAAGGAGGCTGGGAGTCCAGAATAAGCACGGGAGACGTTCATCTCGGTCGGAACATTGGTTAATGAAACGTTGCGTTCACTGGCCCTTCAGCGTTTGGAGGGTGTTTAATGTTTCAACATGGCGTTGATATAGTGAAGATGCATGCTGGGGTGTCTCTGTGAAGTGTCTGGGATGTTCCTTAGGGCTGCTCTGCAACCTGACTCTGCTTCTCTGTCTCTTGGTTTATCTCAATGAGACTGAAGGCAGGCAGAGAACAGACATCTTGGAAGGGAAGTAGAGCTGTTTGGAATCCTAAAGTAATACATGTTTCTATTTGCTTCCCTCATTCCTATTGCTCTTTTCTCTCAGGTATCCAACTGGTTTGCGAATGCCAGGAGGCGACTGAAGAACACGGTGAGGCAGCCAGACCTGAGCTGGGCGCTGAGGATCAAACTCTACAACAAATATGTCCAGGGCAATGCGGAGAGGCTGAGCGTCAGCAGTGAGGACAGCTGCTCAGACGGTACGCCTCGACTGCATCCAAAATCACATTACATTAAAAAAGCTTTTATCGCAAGCTTTTTTACAATAAGCGCAATCAACCATGTGGATATAAACCCAGAACAGCCAGAATCCTGCAGTACATTAGCTTCAAATAAGCCAAGTCCTTCTCTCTTCCAAGTTCCATTCCAAGTTAAAAGAGCTGGCTAAAAATGGGTAACTGCCCTGTCATTATTATCATTATTTCCTGAGCACTTCTCCTTTATTTTCAGGCACATAAACATATGTTTTGAGATTAGTCTGTGACCCTTGACCTCTTTAGCTCTTGTTGGTTGTATTTGGAATCAAGTAAGTTTAGGGTTATTCCTGTTTTCTTTTATTTAATCAATCCACTAAGCTACATTTTAATTGGAATCACTTAAAAAGGGACATACTTTGAATGACTCACTTTTTTATTGCTACATTTTTGTATTTGGATGGCGTACCAAGCCGCAAAATGTTAACTAACAATCAGATCTTTTCTGGGCTGTCTAAATAATAAAACAGGATTTCGACAAGCCTTTTTCATTTGGCACTTCTTCCCATTTCACATGCATTCTCATAACAATATCGGGATGGGGGTTTAAAAAGCAGGAGCTAAAATGGAGCGTGGGAGAATACAGGTACATTCTGGTGACAGTATTGGAGAAATAATTAGTTTCATTAACATAAAAGCATGTAAACTTGTTTTAATATAAACCCAAAATACAAAAAAGAACCTGAATATGAGCATGATATGTCCCCTTTAATATGTATTATTGGCAGGGTTTGACCTTCTATGATCATGGTGGAAATCTTTGCATTACTGACGTCACATCATAATATATCACATGAAAACTCAGTTATAACTTACCCTTGTTTGAACCTAATGTTCTTTGTCCAGAGTGAACAGGATAATCCCCTTACATCATACTTCTTCTGCCCCTGAAATTCAAATCTAGCATTATGACATGAAATGAAGCCCAAGGCCATGCAATGTCCCTCTGTGCCTGACCCTAAAGCAGCGGATGCAATGCAGGGCCATGTTCTGCGTGTATATAAATGGCGAGTGTGTGACCCAGCCGAGAGACGCCGAGGCCGGCGGGCTGCGGCGCGCTGTCATTAAAACACCCCGCTGAGCCAACCCATGTCCCAGAAAATGAGTAGCTCTCCGTCAGCCGTGTATTTACAGCAACTGCCTCTTTCTACTCGCTGACAGCACTGAACACATGCAAGGGAAACAAACAAATATAAAACATACATAACTCACTCAGAGAGAATGAACAGAAAGGAAGAGCACTGTGGTGTCGGTGACCTCTAATTAGATTTTTGAGGAGGAGAGGCTGAAGCGTGTGGCTGGAACAGGAATGTGTGCATGGTGTTTGCATTGTGTCCGCCACAGGCCACTGTGCCACCGGAGGCTCTGTATATCTCCCGGACTCTTCTCCATGTCACATTATGGTTATGAAGCTATCCGCAGCCTGCTCCCACTTCTAACCCATGCGCTAAAAAGCCCTCCATTATGTTTTTATGCCTATGATTTTGTTCCAGAGGCTATTTATGAGGCCAGACCTGACTCCTCTGACTCGGCGTAGATTCCTCTTAATGTCCCAAAATGGTCCAGCTTGTTTTGCAGAGAGAAAAATGCAGTTTCCCTACATGTCATGTAGGTGTTTAAAAGGAAGTTTTATTTAAAAAAAGGTGGATGACCTACATGTAGAGGTAAAAGGACACTCTTATGGGATTATAATGATTAGATTTATTATAGCGTTTGTGGTTTCAGAAGAGAGGCTGAAGCACTCCCTGAATTCTACCTCAAATACACAAGGGAAAAAGAGCAAGTATGTTACCTCCATGTGTTTCTGATAAGTGGGAGCTATAATTTTAATTTGGCCCAGGTTGAATCAAAAAGTCCAACCTGCCCAAATTACAAAATTACAGTCTTGGCAGGGCCAGTATCTCGAGTGAACTTCTCCCTGATTTCCCCCCTGCCAGAGGATATCTGTTTTTTCAGATATCCTTCCCACTCAGTTTCTTTCATCAGGTAGAGAACTTCGCTTTAATTCAATCTTTTCTGCCGCAGAGCTCCCTGGAAATTATTTATTTCTGCAGGGGAATAGAGGGGCAATGTGGTCTTGATGGAGAGGAAATAGGCTACCATCCGTTATGCTCTGGTAATGCGTCCAAAGTCTCGCTGGGCTTTCTGCTCTTGAGGTGATGCCAAAAGCAAGGCAGGAGCGCCAGGTTAAAATCTCCCTGCCCTGCTATTTAGATTCAGGATTAGCTCAGAATAACCAGACCGTGAGTCAGTGGGGATGTACATTCAATGCACAGAATTGAGTTAGACTTTACCTGGAGAAGCATTTGCTGAAGAAATGTGTCTGATTGCTCGGATGATGATTTGGCATGATTTGTGGATGTTATAGTCATTTGTCACCTATTAAACTTAATGTATTTGCAGTGTGCGTAAAATATATTTCTTTAAATAGCAGTAGGGGCTGTGTTATAAATACAATGGCACTAAATGGGCCTCTATTCTTTGTAATGCATTACATAACTATAAACTGTCATCCACATTAACTCATTTAATCAGTGCAATAATGAAAATTATAGAATATAAAAATATAATATATTTATAGAGACTGCTTTAAAATATTAAGACATTCTTTTTATTTTAACATCATGAATAAACATTTGTTTTACCCTTCTACCAAGAATAACACATGATTTCATTCAAAATAAATACAAATCTGTAAACATAAATCTATAAGATCTGAACATTTAAGGAAAACACAGGAGTTCAAGGTGAGCTAAAAAGGATAAAAATAGGAAGAAATATGCAAAGCAATAGGATCTGATTGAGTAAAAACATTTGTAAAGATGCCCTGCTTGGAAAATGTAATTCTGCAAATCATTTAAATGTATTTCTTCTGATTTTCCCCATGGTGGCGTAGATGGTGACAACCCTCAGAGGACACAGAGCAGCCCCGAGGAGCTCAACAAGCCCATGTACCCGGGCGTGATCAAGAAGGAGGGGTCCTCCATGGTGGGCATGGGTATGAATATGAGTATGGGCATGGCCATGGGTATGGGCATGGGTATGAGTATGGGCATGGGCATGGGCATGGGAGCGGGCCTGCGCTCTGCCGCCTCAATGACCGAGGACTACGTGTCTCCACCCAAGTACAAGAGCAGCCTGCTGCACCGCTACCTGAACGACTCTCTGCGCCACGTCATGGTTGCCAACGCCGTCATGGACGCCCGCAAGAGGAACCACTCCGGCTCCTTCAGCTCCAACGAGTACGACGACGAGCTGCTCTCGCCGTCCTCCTCCGAGGCCGAGGCCAACTTTGTTTATCGTGCTGGTAAGGAGCCACATTTCTTGCATTCTTTCCCTTTCAAGAGTCTCCCTCGCACACATGACATCCTTCACTTTTGTTCTTTTTTCGACCCCTCCATCTGCACATTTTGTTTTAATTCCTGCAGCTGGTCCAATATTTCTAACACACTGTTTTCTCCCCGCCTCAATATGGTGTGAATCTTGTTAATTCTGAAATGGAGATGCGGTAAAGAGGACCTCTTTCTAATAACTGTTCTATTAGATTTCAGTGTCTCCAAAACAAAATATCGCACATCTACGTATCAGTGGAGGAGCCCATGTAGTGTCACTTCACACTCTCACACAAGAACACTGTCTGTGTCTGCAGTCAAGCAGAGAAGGAATTCCCCCCGGCCCACTCCTCTGACCAGGCTTTAGCAGGCCAGACACAACAAGGCCATGTGGAGCACGCTCACTTTCAGACTACTGTTTGGCATGCCTTTGATCCTGCCATGAGGTCCCGCTGAGAGCAGGGGCAAGGCAAATGGGGCTGTGTGTTTGTGTGCCGGCAGTCTGCGTGTGTGCAGTCCGTAAAATATCTTTTTTTAGACCAAGGCAGCATCACTTTTAGGGGGAAAGTAATAACAGAAAAAACTTGCGCAACAAAGTTGGATCTGTTGATTTAGGTCCTTTTACAGTATTGCTGCCCCTGAATTCGGCTTCCTCGTCGTCCTCTGTCACTCATTCTGCTGCAGAATGAAAAACACATTCCAGAGGCAGATAAAACCAGATGAAGAGGTTTTTTGTCTAAATGTTTTTCACAAATTCTTCAGTTTTTCTACCGGAGGGAAATAATCATTTAAAATGTTTTGCTTTATGGACTTTATTACGAGCACATGTTTTTATTTAGGGAGTCTTTATTAAACATTTCAATCGAGACTAAACTGAATACTAAACTATACAACTAAATTGAACTTGTCAAAATGAATAACAGAAATAAATGACAGGGCAGCAAATGAAGATGAATTAGTCACTGAAATACATACAATCATTAAGCAGAACCAACTAATCATTTATAATAATTTCATTCATAATGGTATTAGGTTCACCTTGATGTATACAAAAGTAAAAATGAAGTGATGAGTGAAATCAACATTTTGCTGAACGTTAGCTTAAAAGAAGAGCATATTAGAAGCCTTCCCAGCATGCATTGTTTTAATGTTAAAACTCTCATAGTTTGAAGAAAAACTGCCCTATTGTTGAGCCAGTCACCAAGGGTAGCCTAATACGTTGTCTTTATCTTAGGCAGCACAGGAAGTTGTTGTTTTTCGCTGAACTAGCTCAAAATGTTTCACAGCGGGTTTATTGATGCTGATCTTTTCCTCGCTGTAAACGTAGTGTCATGAACTTGCAAATCAGTTAAACTACGGTTGTTACAAATGTGTCTAAGCTGTGACAAATCAAGGTCAGATCTGTTCTTCAGATGAGAACACTGGGTCTTTGTTCACAACCAATTGTGATGTTTTCACTTTCTGTAGAGCCTTGGCAGTGCCGAGGGGAGGAGGGGGTGGATTTGAAGGTGATGGAGTGACGAGACGGGGTCTTTGTGCGAGGAAGAGATTTTATTGTGTTTCATTCAAAGCTCGTCTTATGGACAAATGTGTTTCATATTATCCGAGCGTGAAGGAGAGTGGGGGGGTGTGTGTATGAAATGCATGAACGGCTGTGACGTTTACAATCCTCCTGATCGAAGAACTTGAAACCCTGTGACCTGAACCAACATCGGGCTTTCTCACATCGAGGCACCTGCTGGGGCTCACACATGGAGAAAGAAACAAAGAGATGGATAGACCAAGTGAGACTTATAACTCCCTCTTTACCAGATTTTAATAAGAGAAATCCCTAAAAAAAAAAGGATTAGTTCACCTGGCTGGCCTGCTGTTTCTAATAGAGAGTAACTATTTTATCTCTATGGTTAATATCAGTTCTTGGCACTGACGTCTCCCTCTTGGATTCCTCGGGCCCTGGCACTTTTACAGAAGTGTTACTCTGTTACATGCAAGTGAAGCTTTTGAATCCACACATGGAAAGTTCTCCGAGGCGGTGTTGACTCATGGGATGGAACACCTGCTGGGGCCCTCGGATCCCATCGCCCGGTTGAACAAACGCAACAAAGAAAAGTCGAGAAAATGACCTTTTAATTCCACATCTGATCTCGCCGACGCAGACAGAGCAAATGAAAGAGAGGGAGGCAGGGAGAAATCATTTTAAGCTCGGGTTTGCATCACTTCCCCTGTTTTTGACGCCTGTGGCTGCACATTCCAGATATTTCTGAAGTGAACGCATTCCTTTTTGAAAAATAGTGTTATTGTGTTTTCATAATAAGGGAAAAGTGTTTCCGTGAGTTGCGGATTTAACATAAATCTGTAGTTATATCAGTAGGAAAAAAGATTAACTCTGATTTAAGCTCTGTGAATGTTCCCCACTTTTTGACAATGACAAAATATCTGCAGTTTCACTAAAGGGAGGAAAATAATTTGAACTAGAAAGAAAGATCAGAATAGTGTCTTTTGGCACATTCTTTGGACGAATCCCTGCCTGTAAAATGATCGGGATTGGTCAAAGCAAAAGTGGCGTGCCTGGCGACCATCATCCCATTGGCTAAAAGTCCAGTAATGGACCAGTTTGCTGTTGTGGCCGCAGCCTGAGCCCACAGTGTTATCTGTGACTACAGAGGGCAGTCAGACGTGGCAGGAGATGGAGAGTGTAGATTTACCCCAGTGGAAAACTACACTTATTCTGGCTAGAAATGGACTCACACACTTGAAAAAACACACAGTCATGTACCATTCACAGGCCGCATACAAGCACATGCACACATCCAGTACAAACAACCGAATACACACACACACACACACACACACACACACCCCCACACACCCCCACACACACACACACACACACACACACACACACACACACACACACACACACACACACACACACACACACACACACACACACACACACACACACACACACACACACACACACACACACACACACACACACACACGCACACACGCACACACGCACACACACACACACACACACACACCTACAATCCAAAGCCTGTGGGGAATTTCATTGAACACAAGGAGCAGTAGAATTCCATCACACATGCCAGGGGTTTCATGCCAAATTACCCTTTAATGGGATATTAAATGGCAGGAATCTGGCTCAATGTTTTTCTTCTCCCTCAGTACCAGATTTCGCCCCGTCCGATATCATATAGATCATTATTCGGCATACAACTTCAATGTTTCTGCGGACAGAAATGGAGCGATCTCGGTCAGACATTTTACACGAGGTTGACACTAGTACATTTTCTCAGGTTCTCCCCTTGTGGACTCTGGTTACAGCTACAGTAGGCTGATGGTGAACGTAGATGGCTTGCCAATTCTTCTATTGATGTGGAAAAGTATGAATAGCTGAAATCAAGTCAGTGGCCACCAACAACTTTCCAATAAATACATTTTTCTGTTCTTTTTTGGAAAGCACGTCTATTTGATTAAGATAATAAACATTTGTCTGAGTCCATGTTAGTGAGCTAAATGCTATCATTGGCATGCTGACATGCTCAGTTTGGACCTGATGATGGCATTTGATAAAAGGTTATTGTATTAAACTACAGAAGTGACTCCAATAATTTCAAAGGGAACACGACCATCTGCAATGGCTAAAAAAAATAGGTTACTATGTGTATTGCATTTCATATGAAGTCAGAGACTCTTGGTCATGCAGTACAAAGTCTTATTTATTTAACACCATTTAAGAGACTTATTTCTTTGTCACGTGCTGTTCAACTCGTATTTTTCTTAGAAATTGGTTCAATGAAAACAGTAGTGATCCTACGGGCCTTTTCAGAATCAGGTCGGAGTGAGTGTGCCAGACAGTTATTGCATCCTGGGGAGATTGCTGGCACTTAAATTGCTCTGGAGTTGTCCAGGTGAATGGAAGAAAAGGAATCTTAATGTGGAAAAAAAATCTCTTGATAAAAAATTTGAATATTTTTGTCTCTTTTGGTGTTTTTTGTGATTTCTATCATGACCCTTCTCATATGTTTTTATGATTTCTATCATGACCCTTCTCATATGTTTTTACTAACTATAAATACTTCACTACATTTACTTTACAATCAATGTCTTTCTTGTCTTCTCTCAAAGAGAAACACGTAATGATTTGTACAGCAGCATTGTTGATTTAAGACTCCGATGTCACGTTTGCTAACGGGTGAACGACGGCGTCATTTACTGCATGCCACAGAGCAACAGAAAGACAATGCTTGACACAGAGCTGTTCGGTGACAATGAGCCACTCCCCTTCAGTGATGAATGAGTACAGAATCCAGAGGTGTGGATATACTGGCTTCGATGACCTCTTTCCACAGTTTCATAGGAAAGGAGAAAATAAAGACAGAAAGAGGAGGGGTTAGTGGTGTTGTTTCCAAGAGAGAGAGAGAGAGAGAGAGAGAGAGAGAGAGAGAGAGAGAGAGAGAGAGAGAGAGAGAGGAGAGAGACAGAGAGAGAGAGAGAGATGAGAGATGAGACATAGAGAAGAAGAGAGAGAGAGAGAGAGAGAGAGAGAGAGATCGAGAGCATGAGAGAGAGAGCATGTGTTCCATCCAGATCTACGAGTGGAGTTTATCCAGTCCAGCAGCGGCCTGGTGGGATAAGAAAGAAAGCATGGTGGCTTAAAGACTGAGACAGTGGTTGGAAGAACTGAGAGTGAGCAATGTGCGTGTTTTTAATTCGTCTATACAGATCTGTCAGAGTGAGTACAGTTCATAGGACTTGGTTTTCTGTGCAAATTAGGAGATTTAAACTGAGTTGAAGGTAAAGCTCACATTCATAATTTTCATACGTTGTGTCAGGCCATCTAGATCATTTTCGATCAACGCTGATAGTTTTTAAAACAGTAAGATATTTTCCTAAAAACAGTTTCCCTGTTTAGCTGTAATGTGAAGAGACTTCGCTGCCACCTGTT